ATGGATTAAAGGTTATATAAAACATGCCACGTGAGCCCTCTGTACTGCGCAGTCAGGCTTCGCCAGTGCTTGCAACCAGCAAGCAGCAGCATATCCTCGGTGCTTATACTGCACGAGCACTCGCAGGCAGGCGTAGTATCGCTGGAGGACTTTGGCAGGGGGTATAATGAGTACCTGAAGTATTTACTTACCCACTCATGAAATCACCAAATATGTACAGGCCATTCAAGTTTGGAGACTCGCAACCCCGATAGACGTAGCCTCCCGTAACGGATTTCCCCATTTTGTGTGGATACGCGTAAATTGGAAGCACATCATCTGTAGCGGAGAAAAGATCTGTGACTTGCCTTGTTTTATACATGATGCAGAATAGTTGTTTATCTAGCTGTAGCTGTTTATCGAGATAGTTCTGAGACTAGCACGATATGATCAGGTTCATTTGAGCACCTTAATTAAATGAAGTGCCGATGGAGTCATATTTAGTTTGATTTTCACCTTTTCAGAACCATGTTCGATTGCCCTGTCCAGCTGACTGTGCTAAGCAAGGACAAGCCAGCTCAGCGAGACTGCTTGCTCTTTCACTTGCAATATAAGCTGAATCCCTGATAAGCCTGAGTGCTCTCTATCACCTACACACCTCACCATTCTCCTGAGCCCTTCTCCTCCTGCCACAACCAGGTCTGTTAGTGCTGCTTCTGGCCCATTTCTACACAGCCTGGCTGGTTTTGCTATGAATTTGCAGTTTACTCTTAGAGTCACTGCACCCACGCAGGACATATTTGCCCAATGCAGCTTTGTTTCAGTGGTGAAAGGGAAAAAAGAGATGGGTAGCTCCAGACTGCAGGCACTGATGAAAAGATATGTCAGCGCAAATAGCTTCTGTTTCTCCGAGACAGGGGAGCTTAACCTGAAAGGGCCATCAAATATTTATGGTATGGCATAGGGAAGATGTAGTAGTGGCATATTCATTGTAAAATGTAAGTTAAAACACAAGACAGAGGCAAAATAGAGGGGGATGGCCTGATTCTGAGGGTCCTCATTGGATGCTTCCTCCTTTTCTTTTGAAACTCCTGGGTTATAGGTATCTCCTCGTGGTACCCACCCCTCCTCGTCCTCACAGCCTTTCTCCCTGCCCATGTAGCAGATGCCTCAAGCAACAAACCCCGCAGCTCCACCAGCGGGGAACTTGCACCAGGGGCATTTCATCTAAAGCAAGTGTTTTCTACACTGCAGCTGCACTTATCATTTTAAAGGGGCTGTGACATTTCACTGTTCTAACAAAAGGGTCTCTAAAGGCAACAGAAATTGTTCCGAATACCCAGAGACCTCAGTAAAGTGCTTGCCATGAACGCTCACGCAGGCACTGTCACACAGGAGAGCACTAAACGGGCTCTCTGACAACTGCTTCAGCAAAGGGAGTGCAAAAAATTCCGCTCCCTGCTCTTGAAATTTTTATAAAAAACACTTAATCACTACCACTGTACTTGTAGCTAAGTTAATAAAAGGAAGGAAGTTAAACAACACCACATAGCACATAGAAAAGGAAAAAAATCAGAATCTCAGCTAGTGCAAATCAGTGCCAGCCCACTGCCCCCCTGGATCTCTGGGGAGACACTCCAGCACAAGATGTGGTCCACATCTGACCTTACAATACAATCCACTATGACTTCACCTGTGCACTGGAATTTAGACAGCCAGCAAATACCCTGAATCCAGGTTTGAAAAGTAAAAAAAAAAAAAATTAAGGTTTTCCTTTTTGGCATAGCTAAAATAAATAAAAATACACTGTCATTCCGTTACCTGCAAAGCAGGCAGGCTGCATACTGACATAGGCTGGCCAGCTTACACAACATGTTTCTTTCTTTTTTTTTAAATAAGAACACTACTTTTGAGTTATGAAGAAAAATACAATTTCTCCAAATCTTTCTCACTTCTTCAGGACAGCTTATTTTATGTAGAAAAGATGAGATTGTCCCCCTAAATCACAGTATCATCAAGCAATTTGACTAACAACACAGATCGCCTAGAAAAACAACAGCTAGCATGTTTCATTTTCCTCCTAATTCAAAAAGGGTAACATTTGGACTTTCAATGTTTATCCCCAAGTCAGCTTCCTTCTAGACTGAGACTGCATAGATTTACATCTCACAAGTGCATGTCTTCCACCAGGCAGCCAGGCTTTGAAGGCAGGAACTAAAAATGATGGCGCAGAAAACTGCACAGTGTGAGACACAGGTAATTTAGAGAGAACATCTATTTACCTATTGAAGAATTGGTGCAAAGTTTTTTATCGTAGCAGCTGAACCCTTCCCTCGCCCTCCAGCCGTAATTTTTCCCTTTCTCGACGATGTCGATTTCTTCGTATTTATTCTGCCCCACGTCTCCACAGAAGAGCCGCCCTTTCCCTTCCTTGGTGCGAGGCTCGCCCCTATCGAAAGAGCAGCGCCACATATTTCTCACTCCGTATGCATAAATTTCGGGTCGAGCCTTGGGATCATTGAGAAATGGGTTGTCAGGAGGGATTCGGTACAGAGGCCCGCGGTCATTGTGGTTCACATCAATCCGCAGCACTTTGCCCAGCAGGGTTGATCTGTATTGGGAGAAGAAAGGAAAAAAAAATAATAAAGAAATGAAACTAGACCTCGGTTAAACATACATTCTTGCTCAGAGATGGGTTTTTGGTAAGTCTAGGGTTTCATTCTTTCTGGTTTGGAAAAGACAAGCCTTTAAACATCTCTGAAAAAACCAACCATTTCAAGACCATATCATTTGTCCCAGGCCACTGAACAGCCTTCAGGTGGCACTGACTTCCCACGACCCGCTGCCCCACGGACACACGCTCATGGCTTGGAGCTGCTGTAGGGATGGGTCCACTCTTCCCATTTCATAGACCCCCCCTCTGCTTGCAGAAAACTGGGCTCCGAGCAGACAGCTGGAAGGCTCAGTGAGCTGTCGCTGCTCACAGGGAAAAAAGGCACATCTCGATAACCTCCCCTAAGGAAACCGGAGTTACACGGGAGGTCTATGTGCCCACGTGTGTGCACATCATCAGTGCAGGTGTTAGGCAAAAAGTAAACCCGAGACAGAAAAACCCCCTCAATTTACCTCCCCCAGTTTCTCTTCTCAACCCAAGGGTGATGGGGGGGGGACACAGTGCACACAAGGTTTTAGGGGCTCTCACTTGTTCTGGGCGTTTCCAAAGGTCCCAAAAGGATCCCCAGCCATGCCTCCGTCTCCAGTAAATATATAGAGATACCCATCATCTCCAAAGAGCAGCTCTCCTCCATTATGGTTGGAAGCAGGTTCTTCTATTTCCAGGATTATCCTAACCGAAAAGAAGGAGGAGGCATCACCTACAGCACAAGCCGTAAGCAAACGGCAGAGCAATGTTGGCCCTGAACGGCTACAGATCAGTCTTGATGCAAATTCCTCCATATGCACATTACTGAATTTTACTTGGACATAACTGATTTTCTAACCTTAAATAATTCCAACATATTTTCCAGATTACAGAAACACCAAATTGTGTAATAAGGAAAATCTGGGAAACCACATGACAGAATACACTTTTAATTAATTATACTCTTCCTCTGATTCTTCCTTCCTCCTTGTTAAACCTCTTTTTTTCCTTTTTATTTTTTTTTTTAAGAAAAGGCATCTCAGCTTAAATCTGATTGCAAATTGCAAGAGAAAGGACTCCAGTCCAGCTGTGCATCTGTACAGCATTTGCCACAATCCTGACAGGCGCTTTCAAGGCAAACCTAAAACTTTTCAAACATTAAGTAATAGTTAAATTCTTAAACAGACAAGAATCCTTAAACGATAATTACATACACAGGACTTTACAAGCTTAAAGAGTGGTTAAAAGCAGCCCTACCAACAAATAACCGTTTTGACAAAGGTTATTCAAAGCACTACCGACAACCTTTACCTTCATTTTAAAACCCCTCTCTTACTTTTATCTGTTTATTTTACACACCTAGCATCCCTTTCATAGTAAGAAAAGGGTGAAATATATAAAAGTATAACTCTATAGAAAGGTAAAGCCACAAATACATGCAGTGGAGGTTCCCAGGTATAATAACTGAAGTTTATTTTACTGCAGCTTCTAAAAAATTCCAGATTTCATGCTGGAAGTGCCTCTTAATAGCTGCAAAACCAAATTATAATAATCACTTATAACACCTCATTTTTAGCCAGTTTTTTTCCCTCCTGAAAGTACCGATAGTTTGTGATCGGATTGTAAATTGTGGGAAGGAATCCAGCTATGTAATTATTCTGTCACTTGCTGCTAAACATCACCACTTCTGAGCTAAGGTAACCGTGCGTGAGCGCACAGGCTCCAGCCGGCAGCAGGAGTGAGGGAGGATCACAAAGGTGAATCCTCCTCAGCCTCCCAAAGAAGATGGAAGAAAACAAAACACACTGAGCAAAAATCTGCAGGCAAACAGCCGTACGCCTTCCTGCTAAGGCAAGGCCCACCACGTGTCGGCCGAAGCTGCCTCTTGGGCAGCATCTCAGGATGAAGTCAGTGGGAGCCCTGCCTACACAAGCACAACAGGACCACAATTTTGTTTTCTTAAGCTTTTGCCGTACTAACCATCAGCTAAATAAGCACAGAAAATGTTACAAACGTAGAGCCTGAGGATTTTTAAACAAGACAGCTCATGGGCCTTGACATCTGCAGGTTTAAGCTCCTGACTTGCTTTCCTGAGGACCACCTTTGAATTCCCCTTACCTGTCATCTACAGCGCTCCTTACACTGAATTGCTGTCACTGCTTTATAAAGCAGCATCCCCTTTCTATCATTAGGCTACGGGCATTTTTGAGCTAGAATCATCCCCTGCCGAGTACTTGGAAAGCCCTTATATAATCCATGTAACAAAGCAAAAATCCTAACATTAATAATATCCAAGGGTCTCTTAACACACTGGTTCTATTACGTGGTTCTGCACCAGGTTATAAATCTATAGACTGTCTCCACAAACAAACCTCTAATTATCTGTGCATATTAATGTGGATCAACTGCAGGATCAGACTCAAACAAATGAAATTTCCAACCAAAATGAACTCAGTAATAGCATAGTGGTTTGCATTTTATTTAATTTGATATTAAATTTGTAATATCACAGGGTTAAGCTGTCATTCAGATAAAGAAATGTGGGGCCAAATCCGTCTTTGTTCCGGTACCCCTGAGTTTGTTTATACTGATTTTGGAAACCTTTGGCTTCGGAATGAATTTCACTCATGCTTTGCAGAAGTCTATTTTAAAGGGTAATAATTACAACACCAAAAAAACCCCAACCAAAAACCAAATCCCAAAATACTAACTGTAAATCATGTTTAATCAATGTTCAGTTAAATCTTCTGACATACCAGAACTGAGAAATATAAATATTTTATCCCTGAGCACTTGCAGTTCATCCATGGAGGACTTGCATATTCTCTGTCTCAGTAAGCTAGACATGGACTTGGACTAACTTGCTACCACACTGGAATGCAAGAACAATATTAAGCTAAATAAGTCTCATTCATTAACAGCCTTCAAAAATGCACAAGCTGCCCCCGAGATCTTAAATACATTTGCCAGAGAAACGTGTGTACAATACCTTTCGGAACCATGGTCCAAAGCATTCATGTCAGCAGGAGAAATTCTGAACTCACTGATTCGGATTCTCTCTTCATAACGAACTTCAACTGAATAGTAGACATACACTTTACCATTAAATTTGAATTTAGGATGGAAGACAATACCTAGAAAACCTCTCTCATCTCCTTCCCAAGGTGAGGTAAGTACGGCTTCGCTGATGTTCAGAAATGGCTTTTCGAGCCTGGATCGATCGGGGAGGTAGGTCCACACCAGGCCAACCTGCTCCGCAATGAAGAACCTGTGGGTGCCATCGTTGGCGTGCACCATCGCAACGGGATTGCGCAGCCCGTTGGCGACCTCCATGAGGCAGAGCTGGAGACAGCCCTCCGTGTCGGCGGTCACTAACCCCAGGTTTTGGTTAAGGTTCTGGTTAGTCAGCAGGTGTGGAAAACAGTAGTCTGTGTCCTCCAAGGACAGGTAGCGGCAGAATTTTGCCATGTTGTTCTCCAGTGCAATTAACTCTTGGTCTGCAGAGAGATAGCGAAAAATGGAGCGGCATTTTTGCCACACTTGCAGGCAATAGTCTTGGCAAAGTCCTGGTATCGTCCGCACGGGGGTGGAGGGATCCTCAGCGTCGTACAAGTGAGCTGCATATGGAGAACATTCCTAGAAGGAGAGAGAAGAAGCCTTAAGCCGTTTCTTAGACCAGATTTGAAACAGCTGAGCAGCAATACTAATTGGAGAAATTTCACCTTAATTACAACATATGTTGTGGTTTATTCTGAAGATATATTAACACAGGAAAAGATCTTAGAAAGGAGGTTTATCTCAGCATTCACGGAAATGATCTTCAATATTCCTAGTGAAAGCTGGCTTCCTCATGCTGTTTTTCATTTATTGTAACCATAGCACTAATGCAAGAAAACCAGTGATGACACATGTCTTGCTACATCACCTGGCAGACTGTACTGGGGAAAAAGAGACTTTTCTATCTTGGATGCTCTGATTTTATCTATGAAATAACGAGCAGATTCAGCACAGCACGGCAGCGAAACCAAGGAGTTAGCTAAGAAGATTCAGGTTTTGCATCTCCAGGATGAGGAGGGAACGGGAAAGGTTGGCGGGGCAAAAGCCTGTGACTTCCGTACCTTGTCATCCGACAATCCAGACATGCACCTCAAACAGAGATGTAATTAACAGGTTGGAAGGAGTGGGATGAGAAAGTGTAGGAAGAGTGCAGAAGGACACCCGTCCTTTGTACCACGCAGTGCACCCAGCCCTGGGATCCTATCGCTGCATACACCAGTCTTGCTCGGGTCCAACTGCCTTTGCTGGTGGATATTTGCCTACAGACGCTTTATATACCTGATTAGAAGTGGTGAAATGAATCTCATGATCGTGACGCTGGTCACCAAGTTCTGCGGGGGATGCTCAGGCTACAGAATTTCAGACAGTGAGCAGCAAAAGGCCATAATCCAGGCAAGGTCCACCGGCAGCGGCTGCAGCACAACCCTAGTCTATGGGAGGCCCAGCCTTGGAAATCTACCTAAGGACTGAATCAAGTTCACATAGTTCATTGTATTCGCCACTATGAGAACTCTGACAGGCACATTTTCCTTATGTAAAAAGCCACTGCAATCCAGTAAAACTGTCTGTAAATTACGAACTGACCAAAGCGACTCAGTTCTGCTTTGCAAGGACTTTTCCTTGTAATAAACGCACAATATTTTCCAGTTGCAATGCATCTTCCCGACAAGCATCTCAAAAGCGCTCTCCAAATAATGTAACATGACTCAGTGCAGGCTGCTATTTTCACAGGGCAGATAAAGAACTGAGGAAAGAAAGGTAGAAAGAGAAACTATCCTTCTTGAATAAATTCCGCATTGTTAATGCCTAGATGGCATTTCTTCCAAGCAAAACCAGCTTAGTTAAAAAAAAAAATATAGGGAGCTGTTTCTAAATCTATGGGGAGCTATTTCCTAATGCAGATTACAGCACTATTCAATAGCTGAAAAGACATAACATCTGAGATACTGAAGTATTTAAATTAGCTGATAAGTACACACAATATTTAATTTTTATTTTATTTTCCATTACATACCATAATAAACTGAGAGGCCATATAACAGATCATTAGTGCACAATAAGCTTTCCTCCTGGAATATCAAGCCATTCATTGCAAAATGAAGGTTATTATGCCTTCAAATGAGCAGCAATTAATGTGGTAAAAAGGAGACTGCGCGTGACACAAAACACTGAAATTACGCGGGCAGATTGGGTAACGGCACTCAGCTCGGTTACACGAGGTGTGCCAGGGACAGAAAGAGCCGGAGCGTTTGCCCATGCAGTTGTTACGACTGAAAATTTGGCCTCAGAAAACAAACTGAAATGAGACAGAAAGGGAATGTGAAGGCAGGGCTGGATGGGAGCTCAGTCGGTTTCTGCCTACCGAGGTTTCACATTCAGAGAGAGGAAGACCAGCGCTTGAGTACCGGGGTGTAGCTGGTTCTCTGAAAGCCTCTTTCAGAGCAAGCGGTGATCTCGGGCATTATAAAGCAACGTCCTGGCTTCAGCATCGGGATTAAAAATAGCAGAGAGGTATGGTTTGCCTGTCCCTTTGCCGCTGCAGGCTGCTCACCCCAGCCTCAGGTGTGTTTGAATAGCAGACAGCGTTGTGGATGACTTCTTCACTCCTTACCACGTTCCTGGTGGCATATGGCTATTTACAGCAGCATTACGCTGACAGTGATGTTCAGAGGTCTACCACTAGCCAGACAGTACCCAAGCATGTGTCTAGGGTATTTTCCAGCCACCTTTGGAATATCTTCCAACTTCTATTCCACAAGAGATGGAGCCTGACTCCTGATCCTGAATTTCTCTGCTTCTGAAGTAAATGTTGTGGTCCTTTACCCTCCACGTCGTCTTGTCACATTCACTAACTCAAAACACCAAGAAACTCCACACTCGGTTCCAGCCCAGCATCACTAGTAGATCTAAATTCTCATTTCCAAATGACATGGTCTGTTCATTCATTTTAAACTATGATGTGGTCCAAAGACCAAGGAAACTAACGGGCAGATGATCAGCAACTTCAGTAGGGCTGGAACAAGCTCGCACTATGAAAATAACTCATCAGAAAATAAAACAAGTCACATTAAGACAAGTTAGCCAAATCCATCCTATCTGTTCCAGGAATTCAGAGGCAGCTATTTATCTGAGGAATTGTAACAGTCTGAATTTGAACGAACACCCACATCAAACAATGGCTTACTTACTGCTGCTATCAGCCCAGAGGAAGCAACGGGACTGCTCAGGAAAGCGTCTAACTTGCACGTAATCCCTGACCTTCCCTGTCGACCTCCATCTGGAAACTCAAGCCTTTAAGCAAGCTGTTCCCCGAGAAGCAGAACAAGGCATCTGCTCTCCCGCAGTCTTGTGTCCTGCGTCCCACCGCACAATAATCCGCATCCACACACGTCCCCTGAGACCCGCTGCCCCCATCAAATTACCCCCGGGTGTCGAGGCCGTGGGGCAGGCAGGGGGATGTCCCACCGCAGCCCTCCTCTCCCCCACGGCCAAAGGCACCCTCTCAGCCTGCATCTGGGTGGGGGAAAACCCTATTTTGGGGCAGGGGGACCATGGGCAGCACTGAGGGAAGGATGTTTCTGCTCTTCCACAAGGAACAGAAACAGCACCATGTAGCAAATCACAATTTAAGAGAAGGTAGGAGTCCCTACCACAAGAACAAGCCGAACACTTGTCAAAATAATTCGATCACATTTGAGAGAAATCACAAATTGTGAGCAGAAAGAGACAGAAGTGTGCTGAATAAGTCACAGAAACCCACTTATTAATTCAGGTCTAGGATATAAATTGTATATATAACCAATGAATGGAAGCAGAGCGTTCTGGAGTGATTGCAATGCCTGAACTTCCATTTCGTGCTTGCGTGGCCAGAGGCGGTGGTGTGTAGCCGCATCTGGGCTGGTGATGCACTGAGCTCATCAGAACATTTCAGTGAATCATTTTTCCCACACTGAAATATTTCACTGCTTCTGAACAAATTTTCAATGGTTGGGTTTCTGATGTACACAGGAGACTTACTTATCGCTTCCAGAGGCAGAAGAAGTGCTTAGCAGGCCCTGCTAATGGGTTTCCTATCTGCAAATGGACTTTTGGATACCACTTATTTCAGGAATATATTCAAAGGTTTTTTGCTTCCAGTACAATGTGAGATGAAATAAAGGTCAGATCTCTAGAAGCTGTTGTGGAAAAGGGTTGGCTTTCTCTTCGTGCTTTCAGGAACACAAGAGGTACCCTGCAAAATGCTAAGAGCGGGATTTCTGAAAAGCGACTTTGATCCCATCTGAGCACAGCAGACGAGCCTCCACTGTCTGAATTAATTTGAGATTTACACTTGCACAGCACAGAGCTGCCACTGCTCTGTCTCACGGGCATTTTCATACATATGAGGCCACCGCTGATGATCGGGTCAGACGCTTTGCTCTGCGCAGAAGGGGATCATCCTGTTATCATATCTGGCCACAGAACATCAACTCCAAGTAGAAATTTCCCCCGTGTGGGATGGCCACCACAGAGGTTTCTAGGCCACATCCTCAGGCATTACTCTGCACCCATCATCAAGACTGTTAGCACCTGGCACACGCTAAAAGCATCTCAGGATGCTGTAACCCAGTACAAAAACCCACCTGATCCCATGAGTGGGGCGTAACAAGGAGCATGTTTTGGGCAGGCTGGTCCCCTCCTGGGTGTCTTCACCAGGTCCAAGGATCTAACCCTGGCAGGGTGAGGGGAGTCTGCAAATTGCAACTGCCCACAGACCCATGTCAGAGCACCGCTGCTCATAAATTAAAGCAGAACAACATCCCTGTTCCTCTTTCAAACACCTGCCAAGGGTGGAAAAGTCCACTGGGAAACCTAATGATGGACAGTTGCTCCTGAAAGTGCCTGGGAGCACACGTTCAGGCTGCTGCACTAATCCCTGATGCACCCATATGTGGGCCAGCGCATCCACGCCTGGGCCCAGGCACTAACACCATGGCTGATGCACCTGTGTGGGGGCCCGTGTACCCCTGTCTGGGCCGGGCACTAACGCCACGGCTCACACACCCCGGGCTGCCCAAAGCCCCTGGTGCAGCCCTGCACGGGTGGAGGCAGTCGTTCCTGGGCTGCTGTGCCCATGTCATGGCTCATGCATCCCTGTGAGGTCCAAAACACCTCTGCCTGGACCAGTGCACCCTCCACGGACCAATGCACCCACGCCCGGGCTGAGGCACCCATACCTGGGCCAGAGCACCCTGCGTGGCCAAAGCACCGCGCAGGGGCTGAATCCCTCTGCGCGGCTGATGCCCCCTGCGCGGCTGAAGCCCCCCGTGTGGCTGAAGCCCCCGCTGCAGCAGAAGCCCCGGGCAGCCCGGTGCGGCGGGGGGGCCGGGGGGGCCCCCCCGGGCGAG